ACTTGCCAGGAAAGCTCTCTACCACTAAGCCACAACCCCAGCCCTTTTCATTTGTTTTAATTAGTTTTACATGACTGTAGAAAGCACTTTCACACATCATTCATAAATGGAGTATAACTTCTCATTCTTCCGGTTGCATATGGTGTAGAGTTACACCGGTCAGGTAGTCATATGTGCATAGTGTAATAATGTCCAATTCATTCTATTATCTTTCCTACTCTGGTGCCTCCTCCCCTCCTTTCACTCCCCTCTGTCTAAAATCCAAGGTCCTCCATTCCTCCCTAGCCCCAACCTCCTTATTGTGACTTAGCATCCACTTATCAGAGAAAACATTCAACCTTTGGATCCTTGGGATTGGCTTGTTTTGCTTAGCACAATATTCTCCACATCCATCCATTTATTGACAACAGCCACCATTTCATTCTTCTTTAAGGTTCAGTAATATTTCACTGTGTATATATACTGCATTTTCTTTATCCATTCACCTAGGTTGGCTCCATGGTTTAGCTATTGCGAATTGAAATGCTATAAACATTGATGTGGCTTCATCACTGTAGTATGCTGATTTTAAGCGTTTGGGGTATACACTGAGGAGTGGGAAAACTGAGTCAAATGGTGGTTCTATTCCAAGTTTTCTGAGGAATCTTCACTACTTTCCACTGTGATTGCTCCGATTTGCAGTCCCACCAGCAATGTATGAGTGTACCTGAAAGGATAATTTTTAATACTGAGCCTTACCAAATCACCACTTTCTTCTAATACACATATCAATCAGAGACCAGGCATCAGACAGGCATCCCAGAGGCTCTGCAAATAAGTCTTAGTAGCTCGTAGTGAGAAAATGTGTCCTTCATAGAAGTAAAGGATTTGTTAAGCCCAAAATAGGACACTCATCCCTCTGTCTTTCCGGTTCCAGCTTGTCCTCAGATGCTCAGAGCACCACAGACCCTGATGCTCACCACCTTTGATACTCCACCTTCCACAGAGGTCAGAGGAGCCATGGGGAACCACACCACTGTCACCGAGTTTATCCTGCTGGGGCTCTCAGATGCCTGTGAGCTACAGATGCTCATCTTCCTGGGGCTCCTCCTGACCTACCTCCTCACACTGCTGGGGAACTTCCTCATTGTGGCCATCACCCTTGTGGACAGGCGCCTCCACACCCCCATGTACTACTTCCTCCGTAACTTTGCTGTCCTGGAGATCTGGTTCACCTCAGCCATCTTTCCCAAGATGCTGAACAACATCCTCACAGGACATAAGATCATCTCTTTAGCTGGATGCTTCCTTCAAAGTTTCCTCTATTTCTTCCTTGGCACCACAGAATTCTTCCTATTGGCAGTGATGTCCTTTGACAGGTATGTGGCCATCTGTAACCCTTTGCATTATGTCACCATCATGAGCAAAAGGCTGTGTGTCCAGCTAGTGCTCTGCTCATGGATGACAGGTTTCCTTCTCATCTGTGTTCCCAGCTACCTCATATTTCAGCAGCCCTTCTGTGGACCCAATGTCATCAACCATTTCTTCTGTGACAATTTTCCACTCCTGGAACTCATATGTGCAGATACAGGTCTGATAGAGCTTTTGGGGTTTGTGATAGCCAACTGCAGCCTCCTGGGCACTCTGGCGGTGACGGCCACCTGCTATGGCCACATCCTCCACACTATCCTGCACATCCCCTCAGCCAAGGAGAGGCACAGAGCCTTCTCAACCTGCTCCTCCCATATCATTGTGGTGTCCCTCTTCTATGGCAGCTGCATCTTCATGTATATCCGGTCAGGCAAGGGTGGGCAGGGGGAGGACCAGAACAAGGTGGTGGCATTGCTCAACACTGTGGTGACCCCGACACTCAACCCCTTCATCTACACCCTGAGGAACAAACAGGTGAAGCAGGTATTCAGGGAGCAGGTGAGCAAGCTCCTCTCACAAAGTTGAGTCAGACCTGAGAGAGGGAAAAAAATCACCTCCTTGCCTGAACCTCTGCTAATGAAGTCTTGTCCTGATCTCCATAGATTCTCCCTTCATAGACAGGTTTTTGTCAAGTATTCCATTCTACAGAAATTTCCTGCATGCATTATTGGTTACTCAGTCTTGTTTAGAGAGCACGAAAACTCAATATACCACTACTATGTGTTATATGTCTATATGTTATATGTCATATATGTTATATGTTATATATCTCTGAGCTACTCAGACTAATGTGGAACTTTCAATCCTCTTGCCTCAACCACCCTAGTAGCAGGGATTATAGGCAAGCACCACTTTGCCCAGAAAAAAAAAAAAACAACTTTCTCCTTACATACATATTCCATTTGTTTAATCTTTATGTAGTTAAAATATGTAACATATAATAACAAGTACAATTATCAAAGAGAGTCTTGTAAGTCGACTGGTGGGAAGGAAAACATACATGTTCAGAAGCCTATTGGCTGCAAAGGTTCAGCATGCTATGGACATGAATCATTTTGGGATTCTGTACAGCACTGAGTTTGATAAAAGAGCTGGCAGAAACATATATCTTGTGTTCAGACTCCAGCTCAGCTACTTATTAGTCTTAGAGAAATAAGATTTCTCTGTATCTCAATTATGCATATGTAGATCATCATAATATCTACCTCATAGAATCCTATACTCATTAAATGAGTCAATTTTATTAGAATGCTTAGCACAGAGTTTGGCATAGAGTGTCACATTCGGTGTTAAACATTATGTTTTCTAGAAGAAATAAGTCAAATAAATTAAGTCAAAAATGAAGGTAAATTAAAATATCTACTATCTTACGGAAAATTAAATTCAATCGTCACTGCATATCTTAACCTAAGCAAATTCAAAATAAATGAAATAGATAAATATAAACCTGAAAACATAAAATGAAAGAACCTTTAGGTAGAAAATGTATTAATGATGCATAGAGAATTTTTAATGAAAAAAATATATAAAAATAAGCTTATAAATTTAGACATTTAAGGTTTAAAATTTCATTGTGTCAGAAGTGAGCAGAAATAATGTAATAGCCATATGCAGTTTCTATCTGTCTGGCATCCATTCCCCATTATTAACATACTAGGAACCTGATTTTCTCAGGAGCATTCCTTCCTATTGTTCCATGCAACTAGGGTGGTGCTGACTGCAACCCCAGTCAAACTACAGCCATGGATATTGGCCCAGACATGGCCACATATGATGAAAATCAGATCACTGGGCCCAAATGAGTCTCAATTCAGAGATGTTATAGGAACTTATAATGAGGCTCTCAGCAATCCTGTCTCAAAATTAAGAATAAAAA